AGGTACAGGGTTACGTCCTGATTTCGAATCCGAAGTGATTTTCAACCTATCTTGCCTCCTCCTAATATCATTTTCTGGAAATGTTGGTGGGTCCATGACCAGAGCAGTGTTTTTCACTGATGAAGATTACCTCACTTTGGTCATAGTTGGTATATATATCTATCGCTCCTTAAAATTGAACAGTTACGTTAGATATACGGGTTGATATTCCATTATAGAAGTGACATGCACACTGTTTATATTTTTAAATACATCCAGTGGGATTTATTTCATGTTGAATATTAGAGTGTGTTTTTTTTATGTGATATATTTGTTTTGTTTATTTCAAATATATATATTTTCTTAGTAGGCATATACTAGTACTTCTTTTAAATAATTCTGAAATCTGATCCACCCTGTATTTGTTTCAATTAAATGGCATCAGTAGATAGTAAATAGAATGTTAGGATAGGGACACATGTAAGCCATTTTGACAAATCAATATAGGTATTGTATAGTTTCGATACAAAAAAAATCTCGATTTTTCACATTCTACGTATAGGTATACCTTGAGCTTGATCAACGAAGTCATAGCTCAATTAGAAGAATCGAAAAATGTAATAAAATATAAGGTGTTCCATTTTGAATAACAAAGCTGCTACTACTATACTACTAAGTACTACATAACTACTAATAATAATTTCTAGTGAAGCAGATGAACATTATCGAAAATAATTTGAATAAAACGAGCGTCCTCGCCAACAAAACATAAGCATATAATATGTACATATAGTTTCATGATTTTCGATGAGTGGTTCGCTATTTACATGTAGGACTCGTCGTGACATAGCGAATTATTGCAAATCAAATCATCGCTTTCATTATCTGATAGGTCGCAGTAGATCACTTGATGCCTATCTAATGTTTATTTATTCGAAAAAAAAAAAGATAAAATGTGATCAAGAAAACTGTTGGTGGCCCACCCCGTACTACAAAAACAAAGACAGCATGAGAGAAGCTGCCTGCCCACTTATTGTATCATGACTGCCTGCTTACGTTACGTCTCGGTCTCCCCACCGCTTAGGTAACGATCGAGCGTGTTCGGTGAACACACGGGTATGATCTCGAGACTCTTGTGAGATTTCATCCCTAATTCGACCCTGTCATTCGACCACTCATCTCGATGCTTATGGCAGCAGTACAAAGTCAATTACCGGTCCCGGATCGGCGGAAACGGGGTCCGGAAAGTGTCGCAGGAATGCATTGTGATTCCTACTCGACACCACAAAAGCCATTTACCGACCGGGCTGACAAGAGCGACTCCAAAGAATGATTAATGCCGTAATGCCTCGGGTCCAAAAAGCGTCTAGCTACACCATTTCCATCGGTGGCTCTCTGAATTCTCGCGCGTACATGACGTCACTCACAACACGTGATATCTGCGAGAGGCAATGCTTCTTCATATAAAAACTGTGCATGTGACCGTGTAGTGTCACCCACCCCAACTGGCATTCATAGACGCGATTACGTAATGACGACCATTGAATCGAATATTCACCATACACCATATAAAAACTTTAGATATAGCACCAGGCTCCCAAAAATTTGTTTCCGAAGGCTTATAACTCTGGATAACGTTGATCCAAAATATAACTGGCTTCTGCAGGTCAAAGATCATTTTGTAAAGGCAGGGCAAGCAGACAAATGGCAGACTTTTTCGAATAGTACCTCGAAACGGATGACTGAATCGATATCAAACGCTTTCAAAAGCAAACTTCTAGGTGAGGTCTAATAGAGATTGAGTCTTTCCACATATCCCTATATTTTCCAAAGTCTGTCCCTACGAATAAATGCACAGAACTATCTAACCGCTTCGCTTCCAATACATACAGTAAGAATTTTAGCACAGCTGAGAACATGCAGCAAGAAATTTTCGAAATTTACCTTCAAGGGTTCGAATTATTTCATCAACACTGAAGAACTATGCACAATATGCAACATGGAAAGAAGGGAGTCTCTATATCACATTCTATTCGAGTGTCCTATATACGAAGGTATACGAGCGTCAAACATCTTTCTGGAGATGAGGAACCTAAACGACTTGACATATGCCCTGAATTATGGTCCGCTAACATCTCTTGAACAATTGGTTTGTGTGAGAATGAACATACTTAGGTTGAGATCATTCATAATCAACGAATAGGGCTAGAGAGCCCATGATAATTGCTCAACACTTGTCTTGCCGAGCTTATTAGGTTTGTTTACATTCTGCTATATTCTTTTTCATCGTTCTTTTTCTCTCATTCGATCATATCTTTGAGTCAATGTATTATCACTTTCAATATATTATCCCTTTCAATGTATTACCACTTTTGAATGAATTACCACTTGTGTGTAATAAATCATAGTATTACACCACCTCTGTCAAATATGCTTAAGCTCAACCCTTGTAATGAAAATTGTAATTCTTTTCAAATACAATGAATCTATCTATCTATCAAGTAATATTCACTAGTTACGTAGTTACTACGTATTTACGACAAAAATGGGGAACAAATTACATAATGCGTCTGTCTCGTCGACGTCGAAATCATGTGAGGATGAAGTAAATTTTCCTACTGACTTTCTGTTACATTTCCACTTCATGAAAATATTAATTTCCCTCTTCATTATTTCAACCATGAAGATCACATACGAATAATAAACAAGAGAAATATATCCACCAAAGAATGCAAACTCGAACACGCGAAATAATTGATACTCGTATACATGAAAATTATATAAACAACAGACAGTTTATCGATAAATGTGATGATTCTGTTCCGAAATTCAAAATGCGCTCAAAAAATACAGCTTTTTTCAACGGAAATATGGTTTTGTTTTGATCGGCTTTTTTACAAAAATCATTGTAAATCATGTTAAATTCCATCAATATATAATTTGTTATCGAACAAATGATATTATATTGTTCTTATAATGATGTTTATCAACAGGAAGAACCAAAATTCAATTATCCCTTGGTGTTGTACTGCTTTCTCCTATATTTTAAAGTAATTTAATAATTTGATAAGATGATCCTTATCGAAAGGATTTAAAGTAACTTCAAATCCTTAGGGATTTGAAGTACCACTTTTTTTCCCGGAAATAGTGAATAAAGGTACCCTTTAATTCCCTGAAGTGCATAAAATATATTTGTCTCAACACTTCAGGGCTCACAACAGATCGCAATCTTCCTATAAGGAAAAGTATACTCAAAAGAGCCCACAATTAGGTTGGTCAACAGTCAACCCCTTTAGTTTAGATACAAGCTTGCCGTAGACCTATATCAAAATCATGTTGCAGGATCGCTTCCTTCATCGAATCAAATGCCAATCCAGCTTTCAATAACTATTATTCCTCTTCTGGAATACTATAGTCGTTTGTGACTATTTTCTAATTATTCTTATAATATCTCCTGTTCTTATAAAAGTATCACTGGATATTTATATCGCTCTTCTAAATCGCTTTTCTATATATCATGAAGTTCGACCTTAATCGCTGAATAATAAATCTCTCTGTCTACTCACAAGAAAGAACTCTGACAGGTGCAAAGATTGAAAGAGTACAAACAGAGAGCTGTGTATACGACGGTCATGTCTTCGGCTTGGATTCAAAGTTCAATCCTATCGAGGGTCAACTTTTTCCATTTCATTCTCTCAAGTGACTTTCCGGAAAATATCATTTCTTGAAAGAAGGTTCGTTTAGGCCGAGTTAGGTTAGATTGTTTAAAAAAAGTAGAGTCTCCTTTCAACCAGAAAGGATATTCTTCTTCCTTCGTATTACGTTATTACGTGTTCGGAATTCATGATCCAGAGAGCCAACGATAGAAATGGTATAGCTAGACGCTTGTTCAAGCTTTGGGTGCATTTATGGAAGGTTGATGTTGAAAAATGCGAGGAGCGATTTAGTGTCATTTTCTATATCGCACTGGCACTCCAAGAGGAATATTAAATTTATAGTAAAGTGTGAGCTTGGAAGAAAGCGGGATTATCGCATGATTGTTATGCTCGGCTTCACGATAAGTGGTACTTAATATGTCAAGGGGGTTAGATGGACTTGTTTCGGGTTTCCATCGTCTCAATGGAGAACTTGAAATTTAGAATTGAAATGAAGGAAATCGGAAATCATCAAATGATAATAGAAAACAAGACTAAGATTAATGGAATATTATATGTAATTTACTTGATTATTTGGGATTTTCTCTCCTGTTTTCTATAAAATGCAAAATATCATTTCAATATATTATGTAATTGGACAAATTGGATGATTTGCCCCAAAATGTCCCTGCGTCTAACAATTTTTTTTTTATCAGGGAACCTCGAAGAAAAATCCTAAAGCTTGCCAGTGACACTTTGTTTGGACAAAAGTTTGACGGAAAGAAATAGAGATGTATTTTTATTATTATATTTTTCTTCGAAAGTAGTGTTATAGTTCCGGGTGTTTCAGAATTAAGATTTTCAACCACCCTGTATCTATTTCAATTAAATAGCAATTGATAGACCATGGAAAGTTGAGATGGGGACATGAAAACTGTTTTGACTAATTATGAATAGTTTCGACACAAGAAATTCTTGAAGTTGGAAAATCTCGATTTTTTCACAGCCTATATCTTCGTTATCATTTACGCTGAACCCCAAGTGTAATAGATCGATGAAATCAGCTCTTCAGGAAGAATCTGAAAATGGAATAATATATAGGGTGTCTCATTCGAAAAATTAAAGATGTTGCTACTTTTCAATATAAGTGGCAACGTCGCAGTGTTGAGAATATTTAAGGTGGATAGAACACAACTAATTATCCAAGAAACTAAATTTTCAGTATAATCCTACGTTGCGTTCACCAGAAACGTCTAATGTGCCATCCACCGTGAATCAGCCTGTATATATAGATTTAAATATGTTCAAAATCACATTATCTAACACCTTCCAGACATACGTCGGTGAACCAAATACCTTGTATATTACAGTTTGTTATAATCTCACCTTTGAAAAGCGGACATAATCTTCCCCAACACGTTATAGCACCTTTCCTGTTGAATTGTCCCAAAGCTAACTCCATATAAAACAAGGGAATTCCACCGACGATCAGCATCACACAATAAGGAACCAAGAATGCCCCTGTAAGTGATACAAAAAATTACTTGCATGAAAAAAAAAATAGTAAACATTTTGTTACATGAATTTTGAGCATTGGCTCAATGCCAATTGAAAAACTCTTTAGTCTTTTACTGCGTACCCTACCAATAATAGAACAATTTCGTTTTATAAAATGAATTTTCGATAATTATCCTGTATATTCGTTCTCAAAACTCACATCATAGAACAAAATTGTATAATAAAACTATATTCTATATAAGAACTACGAAATAGCTAAATTGATCAAAGTGGGATGAAAATATGAGTAAATAAAAGGCAAAAACTCAAAGTCATTTCCACAAATTTTCAAGAAATTAACAATGGTAGATTAACTGAGAGAAAATAACTACTTTGCTGGCTATAATGCCACGCAGAGCATCGAATTACAGTATGGCAACAGTTCAACCAAATCATTGAATATAGCTCAGGTGACAGACAACTTTTCGAGACATACTGTATTCATATTTTACAACTAGGATGAATATATAAGAAGTATTCAGTCAGATGTGTCCAATCATATAGAAATTTAATATCTTAATTTGTTGAGATTGTTACTATTATGTTAAATAGCATATTCAAACAGTGCGTTTTGCTTACCGTGCGTAATGAGCTACTTACTGAGACTGTGTTTCGTATGTGTTTTTGCCTATTTTCTACAGTGGTCGTAGATAAAGAACGTTTCAGTATCCATATTTTTCATTTGATTCAAATAGAGTTACTCCAAACTCTAATAATAATAAAAACAAAATATATTCGGGAATAAAAACACAAGATATTTCGAATGGCGCGAAATTAAGATGTTACTTTTGGTTGCTTGCGAACATGCGAAATTGGAAGTAGACCATCTTCTTATATATTGAAAGTAAAATCATAACATTTATTAAATGTTATGTGAGTTGAATACGAAATTACTGATTCCACTTCATTATCAAAAACAAAATACAACATTATCATTTGGGGACTGTCTCCAAGGACAGATCGAATTTTCATAAAAAAGAGAACTTTGTTGAGATGCATTTTCTATCTAGATAATCGATCCTCGAATCGATCTTCATGTAGAGATATTTTCTACCAAAATAAAATATTAACCGTGACAAGTATATTTATTTCGCAACCATCAACAGTAATACAAAAAAGGAAGGAGAATTGAAAACAAGAATGAAAATTCACAGTCAAAATACCAGGAGCAGAAATATGATCACAACTTATGAGCACCAGCACTCAAAATATGAAAGTTCCTCTATGTTCGCAAAAGTTTGTCTCTACAACCTCTCACCAAAAGAAATAAAAAATGAATCCTCAATATTTTGAGAAAAAATTGAAAATGAAAATTTCAGTACCTATAAGATATTCGAAAACTAAATTCAAAATATCAGACGCATAAAATTTCCATGTGTACGGCGCAGTCACTAGGATTCCAATAGTCATGAAGTAGAGAACTCGATTTATACCACGCTATATATTTGCTTGGAACAAATGTTTGTATGTTTGTATGTTTGTATATAACGGAATCTTCGAATATGATTTTGGCCCACTTCAAATAGTCTAATAGTCTAATTGATTAAAACTTCGCACACTCATCAAGGACCGATGATAAAGGCATAATTCAATTGTTTCCTTTCATTATCCTTATTAGAATCTTCATATCTTACAATGCTTTTTATAACCAGAGGCACGGCAGTGTCTTGAACCAAGTACTTGTATAAATAGTTTTCGACCCACTTCAAAACATCGATTTATTTTAAAACTTCGACTACTTATCAAGGACCGATGACAATTGCATAATATAATAGGTTTGTCTCATTATCCTGATCAGGATCTTTAGAAAGAGTGATTATTTTTTCTCGAATAAATTGGTGAATGATGTGCCGCCACCAAAATTTCAAATTTGCTTTCCAAAAAATTTTGAATGTGCGTTTATGTTCCTTCGAATTTTCGAGTGACTTCTCACAATGCTTTCAATATCCAGAGGCACAGCAGTGCCTTGAACCAAGTACTACACCTTTTCCAGATGTATTTCAGAAAGCGTCAATTGTATTTCAGAATAGTCAATTTAATTTCAGAAAGCGTCAATTGTATTTCAGAATAGTCAATTTAATTTCAGAAAGCGTCAATTGTATTTCAGAATAGTCAATTCAATTTCAGAAAGCATCAATTGTATTTCAGAATAGTCAATTCAATTTCAGAAAGGGTTAATTGTATTTCAGAATAGTCACTTGTATTTCAGAAAGCCTCAATTATATTTCAGAATAGTCAATTAAATTCCAGAAAGCGTCATTTGTATTTCAGAAAATATCATTTGAATTTCAGAAAGCGTCAATTGAATTTCAGAAAGCATCAAGACCGATTAGTTAGTAGAAAGTGCACTCCATGTAAGAATGCATAGGATGTTCAATGCTTTCTGTAGTGATGTTTTCAATTTATTCACCCCAATTTTTTTTCTGTACCTTTTAGGTACCTATATACTATTTGATGAACAGATTACAAAATTTCAGGTATAGAGGGGACCATCAGAAATGAACTTCTTTCTATTGCTATGAAAAAGTTCTGATTTTTACATGTTTGTCCAATCGGAAGTGACTGGCTGTTTGAATGATACTGTAAAATATAGGCTTCTTGATAACATTCACAAAATCAAGCTCTGTTGCTATGATGTAAATGTCATGATACTTTCACGACTCATGAAGTTGCCTTGCAGAAGAACACCCCGTGGAAAGTGTCTGGCAATTGTATATTCTCTTGCATGATAGGATCCGATTGAACATAAGAAGATCAGCTTTTGTTGAAATGATGTTTTTGCCAGTTTTTCTTTGTTCTTTCAACATCATCCGGTATCTCTTGGAAGCTCATCCAGTACTGAAGATTTTTAACCCCCAAAACGATTCCACCGAATAAGGTATAACACACATAGAAAATATCAACCTTGTTGAAATGGCGTCTAGCGGTCGCTGGCTTTCAGCCTTTAGAGAACGATTTCTGAAATTCAATTGACTATTCTGAAATACAATTATCGCTATCTGAAATCCAATTGACGCTTTCTGAAATTCAAATGATACTTTCTGAAATACAATTGACACTTTCTGAAATTCAATTGACTATTCTGAAATACAATTGAAGCTTTTCTGAAATTGAATTGATTATTCTGAAATACAATTGACGCTTTCTGAAATACAAGTGACTATTCTGAAATTAAACTGACGCTTTCTGAAATACATCTGGAAAAGGTGTAGTAGGAATGGTTTTCGACCCACTTCAAAATATGGAATTAAATTGAATCTTTGAATACTCATCAAGGACCGATGTTAATAGCATAATATAATAGTTTTGTTCCATTATCCTGATCAGGATCTTCAGGAAGAGCATTTTTTTTCTCGAATTAACTGGTGCATGATGTGCCGCCACCAAAATTTCAAATTTGACGTCCCCAAAATTGAAAAGAGGTTTTCTTTCCTTCGGATTTTCGAATGATTTCTCACAATGCTCTTTATATCCAAAGGCATATCATTGTTTTGAACCCAGTACTAGTTGGAATAGTATTCAGTCCACTTCAGAATTTGAATTGAATTGAAATTTTAAATACTCATCAAGGACCGATGACAATAGCATAATATAATAGGTTTGTTTCATTATCCTGATCAGGATCTACAGGAAGATTGATTTTTTTTTCTTGAATAAATTGGTGAATGATGTGCCACCATCAAAATTTCAAATTTGCCGTCCTCAAAATTTCGAATGTACGTTTTTGTTCATTCGAATTTTCGAGTGACTTCTCACAATGCTTTTTATATCCAGAGGCACAGCAGTGTCGTGAACCAAGTACTAGTATAAATGTTTTCGACCCACTTCAAAAGATGGAATTAAATTGAAACTCTAAATACTTATCAAGGTCCGATGACAATAGCATAAAATAATTGGTTTGTTTCGTTATCCCGATCAGGATATTCAGGAAGAGCGTTTTTTTTTCTCGAAAGAATTGGTGGTTGATGTGCCCCAAAATTTCAAATGTACTTTTTTGTTCCTTCAAACTTTCGAGTGATTTCTCACAATGCTTTTTATATCCAGAGGCACAGCAGTGTCTTGAACCAAGTACTAGTTGGAATAGTTTTCGAGCCACTTCAAAATATGGAATTAAATTGAAATGTTAAATACCCATCAAGGACCGATGATAATAGCATGATATAATAGATTTGTTCCATAAGGCCGAGACACACATATCCGCGCCGAGTCCGCAGCGCATCCGCACCGAGCCCACTCCGCGAGTCGGCCGACAGTCAGTGATAGAGGTGGGAGGCCACACATTTCCGTGTGTCGGCCGTGCATGCACTTGCATTTCAATTTTCAGTTTGCCCTTCTTGAAGATGTTGAAAAAACTCAGTAGCAGTGAGTTAGGGATGGCAGCACTCGCATTAGAGGAAGAAGATACTAATTGAGGACCTCGGTGCAAGAACCGAGCAACTCCATTTTATGCCGAAATTGGGTTATTGTATTCAACATATAGAATTTTTTCTTGCGCATCTTTTGGTGCAAGAATCAAGCGAATCCAACAATCTTCTATTGAGTTAACACGGTAAAGGATTCACCTCATGAGCAATTGAGGTGCAAGAGTCGGCCAACTCCAGGAGTTAGGAAAGTGAAAGTGAGCCCTTTCGAGATTCGGGGAGTGAATATATGTTCCAAAATCATAACTGTTGACGACGAGGACCCAAATTCTGGCAATGTTAACGAAGATCAAGACGCAGGAAACGTCAGCGATTCATCCTATGTTCAAAATAATATTTGTTCACAATATTTCTCGTTATATATTTCATTTTCAATAAAGAAGGAAAATTATTACACGAGTTTGACTATATTTTCAGAATGTTGTCTTTTTGGGGCAAGAAACAGGCAAACTTCTTTTTTAGCTTCTACAATGTGAATGAAAATAGTATCGACGTAAATACAGCTTTTCGAAAATATGAGTTTTTTTTCCATTCCCCAACATT